CATTCATTTCGTCCACTCCCGGTGATTGGCTGCCTCATTTTTGGGGCTTCTACGTGACGCACACAGACACACACACACACATTCACTGCTGGCTGGCTGATGGTGCTGCTGCTGCTGCAGTTTTGATACTTGGGCGTCGGTTCATGAGTAACTGAGTGCGTTCGTGCGTGTGGGCACCTCAACCGCACGCACATGGAGATGCTTTCGTTGGGTGATGAGGGGTGGATGAGGGGAGGGAGACGAGGACAGGCCTGCCTGCCTGCCTGCCTGAAGCAATCGCATTGTCGTGTCTATGCCCATCCACGCCGATTTTTGTGACCACGCACGCCATGTGTGCAACACTTCCTTTGCCTTGATCTTCCTTTGCCTTGATCGCACTGTGTTTCATATACCTGCATCTCTCCGGCGAGTCACCTCCTTGTGCTACGGTCCGTCATCCATCCGCCAGACGATTGGATGGCGGAACGTGGCACAAGGAGGTCGTGGCCCGCAAGAGAGGTCGGGGGCAGAGGCACACACAACTCAGGTGTCGCATATCGCATACAGCATCGCACAAGTGGCTGCCAGCTGCAGAAGCTGCGAGGGGGGAGGGAGGGAGGGGTCTCGTGATGGCTGCTGTCTGTCGGGATGTGGGAGTGCATGTGGTGTGTACAGCCGTGTCATGGGTGGGATGGATGGTTCGACTACGTGGGAGGGTCGGTGTGGTACACAGCGAGCGACGGGGGAGAGGAAAAAACGGGCGTATGTGTTCGTGGCTGTGCATGTGTGTAGTCGATTCGGTCGGTCAGGGTGTGCTGTGCGTGGGATGGGACGGACTGTGGGTGCACTGCCGCCCGGCGCACGTGCGTGTATTCACTCCGCCACGGTGTCTGTCGGGGATGCGGCCGTTTTTGTACACTACTGCCATCCATGTGTTTTTGCGTCATGTGTGTACTTACCTTCCTGCCTGCCTACCCACTTGCTGCTTCTGCGTCCCTACTGCCGTCGATGATAATGTGCGTGCGTGGATGGATGGGCCGGGAGCCTCCCGTCTGTCACTTTCTTGCTGACTCCCCTCCCTCCCTCGTTGCGCGTCTGTCTGTCTGTCTATCTGTCTGTGAGGGTGGTGTCCTTGCTCGCTCGTCATGTCACTCACCATGTCGGTCGAATGAATCGCAGATTTGTCCACTCATGTCCATGTCCGTGTGTCGAAAGAAAGGAAGGCCGACTGACTGACTGACTGACTGTTTTTTGTGTGTGGTGTGCGCGTGTCTTGTCTGCGTGTGGAGCAGAGGGATCGCATTTCACGTTGATGTGGATGGATGGATGGACAAATGGATGGATGGATGGATGTCATCACCACTACTGTGGTTGGACCCTATATCATCGGTTGGCTGCTGGTGTGCTGTCTGTCTCGCTGCCTGTGGGCGGGGGAGCGTTGCTGTCGGCAGGCTGAGTGTGAAACGCCCGGTAACGACACGAGCGGAACACTCTCAGTGTGTCGCTTGCAACGTTCACCCCCCACACAGGCGGACGATGGCACACGGTTCAATGCGCTACTACTAATGAAGTCGGACTCTTATCAGCTCCGTTAGTGATGTGACTGACAGGCATGTATTACCACACCCGCCCCACCCACAGGCGTGTCTCAAGATGCGACCATGCATTCCACTCCACCCCCGCAGTCACTCACTAGGATCCATCACAGAAAGGCCGGCACGGCACGGCACGCACACACGGACTGTCCACACACGAAGCTTCCTCCCCTCGTGGGTCGGTGAGGTCACACACGCAGACTCATGTTGCCTGCAATGTGCACGCACACACACAGGGCCCACGACGGTCTCTCTGGCGGGCCAAAAGATGGTTGCCTTGCTTACGTGCAGTCGCAGCATCGAACGTGAGCGTCTCGTGAATGGTGGACTTGAGCTCACTCTCCGCCTTGGCCTGCATACAATACACCCACCCATGCATCTCTTTCTCTCGTGTCTCACCCTCCCTCCCGCTCGTCCTTCTTACGGCGTTGAGGTGTTTGGTGTCGACGTGGTTGAGCTGCTTCGTCAGCCGACGGGCGGCCAGCTGGATCGCATCCTTCTCCTTCTGTATGGACACACACACACACACACATGGCACACAGAAAGGTCGCATGAGTGTGTGGGTGGGTGTGGGTGTGGGGTGGGGGGTGGGGGGGGTGTCTGTGTGTCTGTGTGTCTGTCTGACGATTTCTGAGGCGATTTCGCGTCTGATGTCGACTATCTGCTGCTTCAACTCACTCATCACCTCAGACTCCTACACACCCACGCGCACACGCACAGAGTGAGAAATAGCCACACCCAAAAACACACACACGTGTGGACAGAGACCACCCTCCATCCACACTACACTGTGGTGATACCATCCTTACCTGCCCCGCCAACTCGCTGTAATACACCAACCCTGCACCGCACCAATCCAGCCAACACCACACATACCCAGAACGCTTTCATTTCCTCTCCATCCCGTGAATGCAGATCGGACAGCTCCCGCCCC